ATAAAGGAAGAGCTGCACTCAGAATCAAGAAAAGGAATAATCTGTGGATGAGAAAATGAGAAAGTGTAAACGGAGGGCAGGAGAAGCTACCTGTAACAGTGAGCTGAGGCTGCAGTGGGAACCCATCCTGACTGTGCAGAAGCCTTGATGGCCTTACTGGGAAGCTGGAAGCTGACTAGGCTGTAGCATAGAGTTACTAGGTAAAGAGTAGGAACCATCTACGGAAAGGTTGTCAAGCAAGAATTAACAAGTATATATTTTAAAAACCTCTATATGGAAAAGAGATAGTAAATTCCATAAGAAAAGAATTGCATGGGAGGCAATAGAGTCAGTAGAACCATAAGAACAGGAGTTTAAAGTAAGCTATCTCCAGAAACCTAAAGGAGAAATATCATCTATGAAACAAGAAGAGGAGAAAGATTGGAAACAGGAACAGGTTAAAGTGTAAAAAGAGACAATTGAATAATTAGTGAAATTGAAACAATATCAATTTATAAAATATATTTTATTAAATATGATTATGTTAAATATAATAATAATTTTTTTTTACAAATTAAGTTGAGTTCTATGTTTTTTTGTTTGTTTTTAAAGATTTTATTTATTTATTTTTAGCGAGGGGAAGGGAGGGAGAAAGAGAGGGAGAGAAACATCAATGTGTGGTTGCCTCTCACGAGGCCCCCACTGGGAACTTGGTCCACAGCCCAGGCATGTGCCCTGGCTGGGAATCGAACTGGCAACACTTTGGTTCACAGCCTGCACTCAATCCACTGAGCTATGCCAGCCAGGGCTACATATAATTATTAAAATTAAAAGTAAAGTGCAAATAGAAGCATGAATAGAAAAATGGCCCCAGTGAAGAGCTAATTAATTATTTGGAAAATTAGGCTGAAGAATTTCCCCAGATAAAGTGATCAGAAGTATAAAGAAATAAAGTATAGATTCAGAAGGTCCTACATATGTCTAATAGCATTTTTATTAAAATTTAAAGAAAGAGAAGGGAAAGCAAATAAACTTGGAAAAAAATTTAGTCTTGGTTTTCCCAGAATTGAGAAAAGGCAAGAATTCTCAGACTATCAGAATCTGCCAAGCTCCAAGTGGGAGGCATACATAAAATTACATTAGATTCCTTATAGTGAAATTTCAGCATATTAAGGATAAAATTAAAATCTTAAAAATTACCAAAAGAGGGAAAATTAGATTAACATGCAGATTTCTCACCCTCCACCTGGAAGAAGAGGGGAATAGAGATTATTTTATATGCAAAAGGAAAAATTCCTTACACCTCTCATTCTACACTCAATCAAAGGATTCTATGAGTGAAGTTGAAGGAAAGACATACTCAGACTCTAAAAGCTTACCATTTGCCGGTCCTTTTCAGGAAGAGTTACTGGAGGATGTAAGAGACAGTTAGTGTTGGTGAAATTGTGAAGAAATGGGCACACTCATGCGAGGCACGTGGGAGTGTAAAGTGGCATGACCACTTGAAGGGAAAACTGGAAGATTGGTAAATTAAAAATGCACACATCTTATAAATCAAGAATCTTACTTCAAGATATTTGTTTTAGAGGAACATACGTGCAAGCAAGTTTATTGTAGCATTATTTGTCAAGGTGAAAATTATAGAGTAATGACTAAATATAACACATTCGTACTACAATATATGGAGACTCAGCAGAAATGAGAAAGATCTATAAGCATCAACATGGATTTACCTCCAAGACTTAGTATTGAGTGAAAACAGCATGTTGAAGTATGATATGTGCCTTAGGATGTTGTTTCTTTAATGAAAACAATAGCCAGCCCCCACAACTGTACATATTTAGTACATATCAAAACCCTTTGTATATACTTTCCATATATCATAAAAGAAAGCATGGAAGGAGATGTATGAAACTTAACCATTAGCTGTCTGGAGGGTGTTGTGGAGAAAAGCTTGATTTGTGTCTGTAACAATGCAAAGCCCTTAGTGCCCAGCCTTGTAGGCCACGGTCAGGGGTGCTTAATCAAGGGAGCAGCACAGTGTCACTCACAATGAGAAAAGGTCTCTCTGGGTGTTGTAGGGAGAATGGATTTGAGGAGGGGAAGCTGGGAGGCCAGTCAGGGGCTGGGCCCCGTAATTAGGACCAGTGCCCAGTCAGCACCCAACAGGTGCAGTGGGCACAGGGCCTGGGGCCCACGAAAATGTTTAATTTTAATTTCTTTTAAAATCAGAATAAAACCCACAAAATAATAATAAATATATAACTTGAATCCAGCCTGGATTGTGTTTGCCTCTATACCAATGCAGCGCTAAAATATAATTTTTTTATCTTTTGTGGATGAAGGGTCCATAAAGGCAAAAGTTCCAGGAACCCATAAAAGTCATAAAATAGCCCCAATTAGGAGTGAGGCCACTTGGAGGGATCGGAGTGGTGGCAGTGGACATGAAGCCAAGTGGTCAAAGGCAAAATACAATTTTGTAAGAAAAAAAAGCCTGAACCTGGTCACAAATTCAGAGTGAGGAATGAGGGGGAGGGAGACAGCCCAGCGAACCCCCCAGAATTCTGACTTAAGATGGTGTTGGCACCATTGACAGAGAGGGAAAGAGCTGGAAGGCAGGCAGCAGCCAGGATGTAAGGAGCTCAGGGGCCGGGCTAGAGGAGGAAAGTTTACCCCTGATCCAGAATCTTGAAAGGATTGAGGACCCCTGAATTTTTAGGCAATGGGGGGATGAAAAGGTTTTAAAATGGAGGCTAACGTGATCCCATAGTGTTTTAAAAAGTTTATGTTTGATAGCAATGTGGGAGGTGGAACCTAGTTGGTGAGAGGCTGGAGAATAAACAGGGAGCCAATGACGTGTAAGTACCCAGGCCTCCTGATCTCACACCACCCCCAGGCCCCGGAAAAATGTGATGACACTGAAGCAGTGGGGAAACAGCTGGAAGGACCTCCCTGCAGACCCCGCCCAGAGCTGGTCTGGCCTGAAGCTCAGCGCATGTGGAGCACATGGACCTTGTGGCGGGCGGCACTCTCAGGTCAAACCGCAGGGCAAACTTAAACACTTCGGTTGTCACAACACAGCAGGCCTGGGTGACAACGACTTTTTCGAAAGTAAGATTTTTAAAATAAAAATACTTCTTCACACACATACACACACTACTCTCAGGATAGCTGGCTATGCCTCAGGCAAATTTGTTTATTTTTTTTACTTATTTATTTTTTGTTTATTTGAAATTTTAGTTTTCAATTCAGTTTACATTCAGTATTGCTTTGTATTATTTTCAGGTGTACAGTGTAGTGGTTAGATACTTATTTAACTTGTGAAGTAATCCCCTGATAAGCCTAGTACCCATCTGTCACCATAAATGGTTATTACAATGTTGTCAACTATATTTCCTACACGGTACTTTACATCTCCAGGACTGTTCTGTAACTGCCGATTTGCACTTCTTGCTCCCTTCACCTTTTTCACCCAGCCTTCCAACCTCTCTTCCATCTGGCAACCATCAGCCTGTTCTCTGTATCTATGAGTCTGTTTCTGTTTTGTTTGCTCATTTATTTTGTTTTTTAGATTCCACATATGAGTGAAATCATATGGCATCTATCTTCTCTGTCTGACTTATTTCCCTTAGCATAATACCCTTTAAGTATACCCATGTTGTTGCAAACGGTAAGATTTTATGGCTGAGTAGTATTCCATTGTCTAGTTGTACCACTTCTTAATCCATTCACCTCTAGATGGATGTTTAGGTTGCTTTCATATCTTGGCTATTGTAAATAATGCTACAGTAAACAAAGGGATACACATATTTTTTTCAAATTCGTGTTTTGGGTTTCTTTAGATAAATACCCAGGAGTGGAATCTCTGGGTCTATCTTTAAATTTTTGAGGAAACCCCATACTGTTTTTCATAGAGGCTTCACCAGGAAATTATTTTTATTCATCAATTAAGAAATACTCTTCTTTCACCTGTTCTGTTTTCTCAGTAGCTCATGTTATTTTATTTCCAGACTTGCTTTTCTGAGGTGTATTTGTTATCAACTAAGCTACACTAGTTTAAATCTTACCATCTGATAAGCTTTAAAATATCTCTGCAGCTATGAAACCATCACTGCAATCACAATGATGAGCACATTCAACTTCCCTCAGAGTTTCCTGTATCTCTTTGTAATCTCTCCTTCTTACTCCACCTTGTCCCTGCTTCCCTAGAAAAGAACTGATCTTGCTTCTGTCAGTCTATATGAGTTTGCTCTTTCTAGAATTTTGTGCAAATAGAATCACACAGTAGGCACTCATTTTTGCCTGGCTTTTTTCACTCGGCATCATTACCTTGAGATTTATCCATGTTGCATGTGTCATGTGCCATAATTTATTTGTCCATTTACCTGTTAATAAGTGAACAAGTTGTTCTCAGGTTCCAGCTATTGCAGATAAATCTGCTATGAACATTCACATACATATCTTGGTTTGGAATTATGCTTTTATTTTTCTTGGGTCCATCTCTAGGACTGAAATGGCTGGATCGTAGGGGAGATGTATCTCTAATGTTTTAAGACACTGTCAACCAGTTTACTAAAGTGATTGTGTCAATTTTGCATTCCCACCAATAGTGAATGAATGTTCTAGTTGTACCATTTTCTTGCCAATACTCGATCTGGTCAGTTTTTTAAAAAACTTTAGCCAATTATATGTATGTAGGGGTATTTCATTGAGTTTTAATTGCATTCCCCTAATGATTAATAAGTTTGAGCATTTTATGTGTTTATTTGTTACCCTTATATCCTTTTTGGTAAAGTGTTTATTCAAATCTTTTGCCTATTTTAAAAATTGTATTATTTGTTTTCTAATTAAGTTAGCTATGTACACTGAGTCCATTATATACACAAGTCCATCATCAGAGGTATGATTTGCAAATATTTCATCCTATTCCATGGCTTGTCTTTTTGTTATCTTAATATTTTTTGCAGAGAAAAAATTTTTAATTTAATGAAGTACAATTTATCCATTTTTCTTCCATATAGCATGTTTTGGTGATGTATCAAGAAAATCTTTGCCTAACTTAAGGATCTGCCATGCTAAAATACCAACTACTGAGAAAAAAAATCAAGTCATTTGAGAGTCGTTCCAGGCTCTTCCTAGGACAATGGTCTTAACAGGAAACTCTTGAAGCCCTGTGAGTCCTTACAACTCCCCAGAGATGTGCTTATAGAAAATGCAATCAACAGAGCTGCACAACACAGTGAGTCGGTCACAGCTGGTCACTGCCAGCCAAAGTCGTTCCCAGAGCCTGAGAAAAGGTCTATAAAATCAGCCACCAGTGGGGTGGGATGGGATGGGAACTTATAGTATATAAAGGAGCCTTTCCCACATGTCCTCAGGGACATGGCTGAATCAGTAGTGAGACAGGGGACAAAGGATCTGGGTTTCGTCCAGCCCTCACCACTCTTTCTGGTGGTGTAAACCGTGACAAATAAGTTTTCTTCCCTGAGCCTCAGCTCCCTTCTCTGCAATACAGTGCTAATAGTAATACCTTTCCAGGCCACCCCTTTGGGTTTTCCTGGACAATCAGGGAGATATAAGGCAAACATACTTGTAAAACCCTCTGAATCTCTCATTTGTTATCTCTTCCAGGAAGCCTCCCAGCATCCTCTCTTCGAAGGAGTTCTGGGGCTTGTTGAATGAACACCTTCTCTTCATATTCCTATGTACTGAGGACAGTGGGATGAGACCCCCAGTCCCTCTGGCAGGGTGATCTTAATCTTTTCTCTTGACTTCTCAGAACATCTATGCCTCGTGTTAATCTTTAGATAATGTCCAAGGCTCCTTCCAACTCTGACATAGTTTTGATTCTAGGGGGACATTTCCCAGTGCATGGCTAGTACACACTCATATGAAAAGAGACCTGATTGATTTGGGGTGGGGCTGGGTGGATGGTATTGGGTGGGCTGATATGCTGTTTCCTCAAGTGCTCGATGTAAGCATTACGGTACAACACAGAGAGCACTGGGTCTGCACCCACGCTATCTGGGTGGATGGCTGGAGCTCTGAGAACTTGAGCATCCCTTGTAAGTTGCCTGGGCCTGTTCCCTCATCTATAATGAAGAGACACGAGTCGCTGTCCAGCCTACCATTTGGTGCTGTAAACCTGAAAAGGATTATTATTGTCATTGTTTTTCTGAGTATTTCAGGATTCTGTACAATAAAGACATTATATATCATGCACTACAAAATGAAATTTGCCAAAAAATACATTTTGCACCAAGTTAGAACTTGAAGCAGAAATTACTTATCAAACAAGTATTGCTACTGGGCATGTTTTGGTTTTCAATTAAATTCTTTTTAACTCTGGCTCCATGGTATAATGGTTTTGGAATCAGTGATATTAAAACATCACACTGGTAAGGGTTTTATTTAAAACAGGACGAAAATGTTAACCCAGTGGTGCCCAGACCAAACATAAGACTGCTGGGTGGCTACCCTGTGGGCATCAAAGGCCTTGTTCATTACGATTAACCTTCAGGTGGGTGGTGGAGACTCACCCAGCAACCTGCATTTCACCCAGCAGTTCCACTTTACTGTTTTGTCTATTCCCTAAAACTCTTTGGGGAATATTTGCCATCACCTTTTGTTACTGGCAGAGAAACTGTGGCTCCAAGAGATTGATTTAGTCAAAGTCACTCAGCTTGTTGGGAGGTGACAGAGCCTTCCAACCAGTGGAGAGAACAGGGGCGGAAGTCAGGCGTCAGCAGGTGTGAGTACCTGTGCAGCCCGGGAACACTTACTGTGTGTGAGTGGGGATAATGCTTGCTTCATGGAGATAAATTGTATATAGTGCTTAGCCCAGGGCTGGGCACTAACCTGAATCCTTAATAACAGTCAGCTCTTCTTCTCCATCTTCCCCCTCACTGTCTACTGGAGCACATGGGTGTCAACAAACACAGTCATAGACAACATCCTGCTTCAACGCAGCTCCCCCAAACCACCCAGGAACATTTGTCCAACCTACCAGTCTGGAACTGACTAAGTTTTCAACTCCCTCCCAGATTCTGTGTCCTGGGCTTTGGAAATTTTCTGCACTCCTGTCTTTCTCTCCCTCAGCCCAAGCCCAGATCTCACCTGGCCCTGCCGCCTTCTCAGGGGTGGGAGAAAGGGGGTTGTGGGCCTTCATTTCTGGTGGGAAGGGAGGAAAAAAGAGGAAAAGCTGGAGCAGCAAACTCCTCCCTCTACCCATCCTGAGAGGAGTCCCTACTTTGATCTCCAGACCCCCTTGTTTTGGTCACCCTCCCCCAGGTCTTTATTTCCTTCTCCTCCTTGGCTCCAGCCCTGAGAGCCCAACTCCCAGGCAAGTCTGCTTTCCCTCTAGAATGTGGAGCATGTGCTTGTCCTCTAGGCTTGCAGAGAAGCTGGGAGCCTGCTAGAGAGGCACATCTCTGAAGTCCTTCCCCAGACCAACTGAATGAGAGCTCTGGGGGAGGGGCCAGCAACCTGTGATGGAACCAGCTCCCCAGGTAATTGGATGCATCCAGGGTGTGGAAACCATCGTTCTGGGGAAACAGCTGAGGACCTGACCTTTCCATTTAACTTCTTGCCCAGCTAGGTTAGAACCCCCAAGTTGTTGTTGAGAACTTGTGTCTGCTCAGGGGTCAGGGGATGAGGATGGGGAGGGGGAAGGGTGGTGGAATTCCAACTTAGCTCACTTAGCATCCACTGGGTCCTTTCATAATTACTTTCACAATTTTTTAGAGTTAATTTTGTTTTTCCCTACAACACAAATGGAGAATCTGAGATGCTGGGCTGTGGAAAAGGTGAAGAGAAGAGGGTGGGAGTCACACAGGTACGGGGCCACAGACTGGACCACAGGTGGGGTGGGACATATCCGTGCAGATGGCCTTGTTCAACACCTTCATTTTAATAGATAAGGAAACTGAGGGTCAGAGAGGACAAGAGACTTGCCCAAGGTTACGTAGGAAGTCAGTGTCTACCAATTCTTCACCCAGCACTCTGTCCTTGCTTTTAAACTTTTTGTTTTGAAGTAATTTCAGATTTACAGAAAAGTTCCCTCACACTCATCATTCTCTTTCCACTAAAAGTAGCATCTTGCACATTCATAGTCTAGTTATCAAGAACTTTTAAGTAGTTTAATTAAACTTTTAAATTTTGAGGTAGTCATAGATTTGCATTTGGTTATGAGAAAGTACAACACATACCCAGCACCACCAAAGAAGTGGAATTATGAATAACATGTCTTTCCTGTTTTGTTTTCCTGTACCCTGCACATTCACACAAGAATATAATTGTTCACAACATAGTAAGAGAAATGATACAGAGTTCCTATGTATCCTTCATGCAGTTTTCCCAATAAGAACTTTTTATCCAGAATTTTAACTTTTGTTTAAGTATTTTTGTTTTATTCTTCAGGTTCATCCTCTTTCAGGAGAAAGTTCTCAGAGCTCTTCTGAGGGGACAAAGGCAGAAAATAAAGTGAATAAGAATAATACTGGTTTTCTCCACAGGAAAGGTGGGCACCTGCCGCTTCTGGACACCCACTGCTGCTTCTCCAGGGACCGCCCTTGCCTTCCAACAAAAACCTCCAGCTCCAAGCTCCTGCAGGCACCTTCCAATGGGAATGGGGCTGGCAGGGGGCGGAGGGGAACAGTGGCCGTGTTCCAGGAACCTACAACCTCATGAAAACTACTACTTGGCAGAGAGCTGGGAGGTCAGCCACCCATTCTCCTGGAGTCTATCAACTTCTGCCTGAACGCTGCCAGAGCTGAGAACTCACCCCTGTTCAAAAGGCTCGAGAACTTGGAGGCTAGAAAGTTCTTTCACAAGATAGGAGAGCAGGACTGTGCTGTCTTGTTCATTGTTATGTTTCTACCCCTCCTCCCACAGGGCTCAATAAACACTAGTTGAATGAGTGGAAGAATGAATGAAGTAATGAGCAGACACCCTGCCCAGCCTGTGAGGTTGGAAGCACAGTGTTCCTCTGAAGGAAGGCGGCAGGGAGCTGCCTGGGATGCTGCCATCGCCACCAGGCCCAGCTTGGTAGGGACAAAGCCCAGTGTGCCTGTGCCTGGCTGAGGGTAGGAGCCCTTGGAACGTGAGAGGGATGGGACAGCCCCAGGGTAAGAAGTCCTTGGGGAGGTTTTTTTAGGGGGTGGCTCTTTCAAGTGCTCTGAGGGCTACCGCCGAGTGGCAGCCTTCCTCCACGGCCCTGACTTATTGCATTCCTGGGTAAGTTGAGGGAAATTCAATCCATATGTTTCTGAGTTCTTTACACGATTCTCAGCAAGACGCCGCTGTTGTGTAAGAGCCACTTGACGTCGATGGTGCTGCTTTCTTTTTTCCATTCTGAGAAGTGTCCCTGAAGAAAAGCCAGCTCCACCGTCCCTGAAAAGGGAGGGGCAGGACCACAGGGAACAGTCATCTTGGGGCAATGCAGGACCTGAGAAGACTGTTTCCAGGGAGTCTCCAAGGGGAGACTGAGGAGAAGAGGGAAGACTGGGCACCTGGGCACCCTGCCCAGCCGCATGCCCACGTGGGCTCCCAGCTGCTGTCGGTAGGACCTCAGTGGAGGGAGGAGAGGTGGAAACAGCATAAGGAGTTGCCCAGGAGCAGGGAGGGACAGCTGGCACAGTGGGAAGATGCGGTTTCCAGGAAGGGCACCTGGGTTTGCATTTGGGCATGACTTTAGGTAACTTACTTCCTCCCCGTGGGCCTCAGTTTCCCTTTCTGCAAAGAGTGGTGTTGCATTCTGCTTCAGGATCTCTGGGGTCCTAATAGCCTCTTCTATAACCCCCTTTTTGGTGTCTTACAATGAATATTATGTGGCACTGCCTAGAAAATATTTTTCAAGAAAGTATTTTTACCACTATCCTCAGTAAGAAACACGTTTTACCAGTAACCTAGTATGTATAACTGAAACAAAGCTTTCACAAATCCATGCTTACCTTTTCTACAAAGATAGACATGTAAATCACTGGAACAGAAGAGAAAGTCCCCCCCAAAAAACTTCTGTGCATTTACGGTCAGCTGATTTCCTACAAAGGTGCCAGGGCAGGTCAGTAGGGGAAAGACAGCCTTTTGAAGTGGTGGAAGCACAACTGAATATCCGTATGTATACATACATGAATAAACACATAAACTCAGACACACGATACACAAAAAATGAATTACAAATGGCTTATAGATTAAAATGTAAGAGCTAAAATAAGGAGTCAACTATGTCCGTATAACATAAAGGATGGTCTTCACAAATGTGTTAAGTGAAAGAAGGCAAACATCAAAGGCAATATTTTGTGTTCCATTTACATGAGATTTCTAGGAGAGGCAAACCGTCAGAAACAAAAGCAGATCAGAGGCTTCTGTGGGCTGCAGGGCTATTAACAGGTGTGAGGGGGCCTTTGTGGGGTGCTGGCCGTGTTTAGTAACTGGGGTTATGATTGATCGCACAGCTGGAGCCATTTGCTAAAAATAATCAAATGACACTTACAATGGACCAGCTCTATGGCAGGTACATTATAACTCAAAGAGACACGACAACCAACAAACTTAAACCTAAAAAGGAAAGATGATACATGATTTGCTCAATTGTGCTATATTTTGGGGGCATGATGAGTTTGTTACAAACCAGTTCTTCAGAGCATGCACGGCATCATCACACACAGAGTTTTGTTCATAAAAGACTAGTGATTTGAAAAAGATTAGAAAAGAATAAATATATAGTGATCGATGTATATTCAAAACCAAACGTTTTAAAGACAAAGATTATATAAACCTAAGCAAGTCTTCCCATATTTTGTATGTCATCCCAACCAATGTCATTAGTAGACTGTAACCGGCCCCAGTGTGAAGCATGTAAGTTTGTCATCCTCGCCACAAGCACAATCTTAACGGTTCTCAATGTTTGTGAAGCACAAGGAAGAATGTTGTCTTTCCTTAGGATGGGAACCAGATGCCTTCAAAGATTTCCTAACTAGTTTGGTGGCTTCCAAATGTAACTGGTCATCAGACGGTTCATGGCCAGCCCCTCTCCACCAAGACTTACACAATCAGCATCTCCGAGGTAGGCAGGCAGGTTTTAGGACTCTATTCTCGCAAAGTTTCTCTGGTTGTCAGAGAGACTTATGAGTTTCATTTGGTGAAATCAGTGTAATCAGTTTTGGGATAGATCTCAAAGAACTGGGTTTTTAATATAGTTAAACTTCAAGGTGTGCAAAGGAGTGACTTTAAAAAAATTATAAAGCAAAGTACAAAGTTTTTCAGCAGTCACGCCACCTCTCCTCCTCGCCTTCATACCTCCAGGAAAGAAGGGGTGGAGCTAGAATTCTGCAAACCCTGGGGTTGAT